ACGAAAAACATTAACACAACGCTGAACTGCACTTTGAAAAATTTTGTACTCAACAACGCCGGGAAATTGATTTTGAAATTCTATGAAACATTCCTCAATAGAATACTTCCATATTCCATCAATCTTGCGTCAATTTCTAAAGTAGGACTCTATGATAAACACTTTTTGTTCTTGAGAAAACACCATTTTAAACGCTTTTTAAAACGAAAATATTCAAATTGATAGCGGCGATATAGCGCCTTGACAAATGACGTTTAAATTCATTTGCTATACGCTACGCCCTACGTCCAAATTTTCAGAACCAACTTGACCACGTTTTTATTTGAACGCTCGTTATTTAAATTTATTTTTCTTCTCTACAAAACAACTAATAGTTTATTTGATTTCAATGAAATATACGCAAAAAGTGGGGATCGTATTCGTTTTCTTTATTTTTTACTTCGAATGTAATAATATAATTGTAGTTTACAAATCATCTTTTCAATAACATTTTTAATTATCATTTTATCACCATTAGGCAATATATACAGTAAAAATACTTAAGTTGAACATTCTAGTTTTCTATAATGCATCATTGTTATTTGTATTTCTGAATTTTGCGCCACTGATATAGCTTTTTTCCATAAATTTGATCATTTTAACACGAACTTACACAGTATTCTTGATATAAAAATGTTACTATTTAAACATTAAACAGACTTACCTTTGTTCAAAATTAATTAACTTCTATCCTTTAGCTTATTTCAAAACATAACAGAATATAAAATTATTTTTTTAGTTCCTTCTTTGGAAATTATGTCAAACGTGCAATGCCATCTGATAATAGACGATGAATGTTTCCCTCTCCTTTATATAATTTTTAACGTGACTAATGTAATCTGTTTCAGTTACTAACAATATAATAGAAGAAGCGACGTATTCAGGGATAATCGATCCTAGCGCTGAATGGCACACCTTAAACCATAGAGGGCCCCGGGCACGCTTGACTTACAGGGTGCGCGTCAAATGTGATACTCATTACTACAATTCCACGTGTACAAAATTCTGTCGACCAAGGAACGATAAATTTGGTCATTTCATCTGTGATGTAAACGGAGACAAAGAGTGTATAGAAGGCTGGAAAGGTTCTACTTGTGATGTTGGTAAGTAAATATCTTTAAAATTCAAAATATATCAAGATTTCAATCGAACTTTTGCTTGTTTCTCTTCTAAACTTTTAGAAAAACATGTAAATTGTTTTGAAATACCGATGAAAGCGGAAAATAAAACGAAACGAAACTTCAAAAGTTAAACGAAATGGTGAAAAGGTTTTTATAAAAACAAATTTGAAAAAAAGTGAGTGTGAGAAGGACGTAATGATAGATTAAAGAGTAATTTCGATTATAAATTAGGTTATAGGGCCTAGGTTAACTTTCCAATCACTAAGTTACAAATTAGCCCTACATTGCAATCTTACCTGGCTGTCACCTAAGATTATATGTGCTTATTTCACGAAACAGGTATTTATAGCTTATGACAAAATATTTAATATAGTTTTATCACATGCAAGGACTTTAAATTAGACTTAACTATAAATATCTTTGTTATCAGAGATCTCGTACATTATACAAGGTGTAAGAAGTTTGACTGCCATTACTTCAGTATGAGATAGAGTAATCATAAATGAACAAAAATGTTGTAGGTATATTACAGGGACGTAAAATTAACAGTTTTTAAAATACAGCGGGTATTAATATTGGGGAGTTTCATCACAACGTGACAACAGCACTTAACCTAACGCTACATAGCTGGTGCATACCACGTGTGCACGTGGCACACTTGTCCTGCGGAAAAAATGTAAACAACTATTATTTAGTAAATTTCAAGACAATAATTGTTTTCCAGTTTTTAAATAAATAAAATAAAATGTATCGATTTTGTAGTACGAAGATAGTGTTGTGCTTAAATTTTAGCTCGAATTTTAGTAATTATGAATCTCTTAAAACAGGAACTTATATTCTATGCATGCAGTTATGTCAATTAATCGAACTTTTGTACATCAAGTTGGAGATTTTGATAATTTTTTCTCGGAAACGGTTGAGTTTAGGACCCATTTCATATAAGGTTTTTTTTTTGTTTATTTTATTGTATTTTATCGTCTGTTAAAATTAATTCAGTCTGGTTTATTTAAATCTTCTAAATTATTTTAGCCAAATTTTGCTACGAGTTTTATATTATTTGCAAGATCTTTACTCTGTTTTTAATTTTGTTTCTTAACTTTGCTCCTTCCAAGTCCAATTTGATTTATTTTATTAATAAAAATAGCTGAAAGAGAAATAGAAATTTAATTTTTCATGAAATTTCCTGTTCTTTAACTACACATCAATAATACAGAATAAATAATTGCATCTCTTTGATATGGAATTCAAAAAATTGTTTTTAACAATTCCTAATAAGAATAAGAAACTAAAGGCTACATTTCCAAGAAATCTTTTTTTATACAGGGTGATTCATTAACAATGGGAAAATCGAAAGCTGAAGATACTACACGTGAAATGGTGACCATTGACACAAACATGCCTTATCCGAAAGTTGATAGTTTCGGAAATACAGGGTGTTGAAACTTGAAATTTTAAATCGTTTCTTTGCGATTATTCTGAAAATATGTAGGTTAGGAACTTGAAAATTTGTGAAACTATATTTTTTTAGGCGACGAATAAGATGCGTGTTTTAAATTCAGCGTTTCTACTTCTACTCTCTACTACTATTCTTTATGCGGCCTGTTACAATATACTTTCTTCTATTTCCAGCTGCCTGTAAACCGGGATGCCATCCTGTCCATGGCAAATGTGACAGTCCTGAAGAATGCATGTAAGTAACAAAAAGTTAATTAATAAATTTATATCCACTTTGTTACTGACGTACATTTAATCTTGATAGTTTTACATAATTTAAGATCCTCGTGTAGTTTACCATTTAGAAGTTAAGAGCCATGTTCACACTTGATTCAAATTTAATTACTTGCCGGTTAAACCGATTACGAGTATGTATTCGGTTCTTAGAATTACAGCAGATACCCAAGTAGATTGTAGGAACTTCTGTTATTTTATACTGGCACCGCCCATTGCTTTCCTTTTATAATTAATGTTGGATGGTTCACGAAAACTTGATATTATCTGGATTCTATGTGTACTATAAATAACTTTCAGTAACGAACTAGAATTATGATATTTTGAAACGTGGTTGCAAAATTATTAATCACGAATAGCAAATTTTTACATAACAATATCTGTATTGTGGGATTCTTGTTAAGAAAGTTATTTAATTAATACCTGTATAGGGAAAACTACTTTGATTTATTGTCGATTCTATTGAAACGTCTAAATTTATTAATGAATAGAAGGATTGAAGTGCCAATAAAAGAATACCACTTTCTATAAACAAGATATCAAATCATAGGGAACGCTTGCTAATGTAGTATTGTCAAAAAATTAAAAATGATTCAGTTTATGTCACATGGTTAATAAATCCATCAAAAGTAGGTACACTTAGGCCTTTTTAATTTGTGGAGAAAACAATTTATTTTACATTAGTAATAAAAATCTACTGTGTCCTTAGAAATTATAAGATTTTTCTCTGCAGTTGTATCATATACTAGTCCTAAAGAAGATTTCAAAATAAATCGAAACGTGGACAATATATTTTTATAAAAAAAGTAAAATACTGCAGCGAAAGTCATCCTAGTGTGCATTGTTTATAAATTTGTTCACTTATTAGTTTCATGATGATTCTACATTCGTTCTTAAGACGTTCAGAGATTGTTCTTTTAAAAATAAGAACAAAAAGTCTTTTTGGCAAAACCCATTTATATTATTCAAAATCCGACTCAATACAGTGATTTGAACGGTCTAAAAGCATGTCGAGTGTCAAAGTCACACGGTGCCAAAGTGGTTGACAGTTAAAATACGATCTTTAGTCAAAAAATTGATCACAAGTGTCGATCGATGAGATGGAACATTATCGCCCAGCAAACGCCAACGTCCTTTTGCGCGATATTCTGGGCTAATACGACAAATGTGATGCACCAAAACGCTTCAAAACGCCAAGATAGAATTGTGCATTAACGGTTTGTTCCGATGGAACGAACCATTTGGGGACAATGATGCCCTTGGAATCGTAAATGCAAATCAACATTGCCTTTACTTTTGACATCTCCAACCGAGATTTTTTGGGTTTTGGTTCGTGTGGCACCTTCCACTCGATACTTTGGCGCTTGGTTTCTAGATCATATTGAAAATACTACGTTTAGTCACAATGTTGTAAAGGAAGTTTTTGTCTTTTTTGGCGTCCTTAATGTCCTTCAAATGTTGAATTCTGAACAATTTTTGGTCCAAAATATTATGAATTGATGTTTTTGAAATGCTCAGTTCCAATTCCATGAATTTCAATGGAGATTTTGTTTGGCCAACATGTCCTCACGACCGTTTTTAAACCATGAACTCTGCCACGGGATAAACAATCATCACCATAAACTTGGTTCATCAATTGAAACGTTTAGGTAAAAGTTTTATCAAGTTTAAAACAACACTTAATATTAGCTCTGTGTTCGATGCTCATTTTTGTACCGATAGCACCAACATAATGTCACTTCAGGCGCAATAACTTTGCTTTTATTCGTCCAAATGTCATAAAATTTTAGTACATCAGTGAAGAATCTAACTTTTCGACGCATGTAATAGATGCCCTCACTAGAAATACCTATTTTTTAAAAGTCCTGTTTACTTTGGGACGCATCGTGTATACTGTTCTTAGAAATCTATGGAAATTTCGGAAAGCAACGAAAAATATACGAATCGCCACGCCAATGCGCCGGAAGAGTTTTTTGAAGGTTAAGTTGTAATTTGTTATTGCGAAGTGTCAAAGTTGTCAAAATTTGTTGCGTACTAAATTGTGCTAAATAAAGAAAATCCGGTACAATATTTTCGAATTAATACTGTTAATTATATGTAATAGTCTTAATAGTAGTAAATAATGAAAACAAAAATTTGACATTTATGCAGCAAAATAAGTTGGTACGTAATATCAACATTGCCAGACCTCATTCTCAGTCTGAACTCATTCTCTGTCTTTGCCAGTCCTTCTGCGGACTCTCTTCTCGATCTGCGCATATCGCAGTCAAGATCGCATATCGTAAAGTAACCATAAACTCGATACATTAGTAGAAATAGATTCAAATGACGTACAGATCGCCCAAAAATTATACAATTTTCAACTCTCAAGTCCTACCCAAATCTGAGAAATTGACCACCATTTCCTAGACACCCTGAATGGCCATTTTAGTATCAGCAGGTTTAATAGTTATTTTTGTATCTAGTGCGCGAAATGCTACTTTGGTGATCGAGAATTGAATTTTTTAACGAGGCGAAGCCGAGTTAAAAAATTATTCGAGACCACCAAAGTAGTTCGCGCACGAGATGCAAACAATATTTTTTCTACAAACGTCAAAATCTATCTCTTAAAAATATTATAAATAAGTAAAATGCCTAATTTATTATAGAAAATAGTGTTGAGCTGGCTTAAAATGTCTTTCCTAATCAAATTTTCACTGTTACTATGGAAACAAAGTGGCTGTTGTTGACAACAATAATAATTATTTTAAAGTGACGTTTGTGCTCGCGTCTTCAATTTTTAAGTGCCAGATATTATTTAAAATAATGGAAATTGCTAGTGACGATGAACTAAGTAGTACCCCACCTAATTTGGCAGATGCGGCCAATTTGGTAACTTCAAATCTTTTACCGGAAAAATCGAAGCGCCAATATGAAAATGCATATCGGCAATTTAAGGAGTGGTGTGAAACAAATAAAGCAAGAAAAGCATCCGAAAATGTGCTGTTAGCATATTTTGCAGAAAGATCCAAGAAGGTGAAGCCTTCCACATTATGGGCAGTATATTCTATGCTAAAATCAACACTTAATGCTAAGGAAAACGTAGATATTAAAAAATTTACCAAGTTGGTTCCATATTTGAAAAAATTGTCAGTTGGACACAACCCTAAGAAATCCAAGGTATTAACTCGAGAAGAAGTAAATCAATTCATAAGAGAGGCAGATGATGAAATATATTTGATGGCTAAGGTATATTTTTAATCATTGTTTTATATGTATTTTAAATTACTAAATATCGATATCCTTTTAGGTCGTTTTAATATTGGGTATTTCTGGTGCTNGTTTCACGAAAAACATTAACACAACGCTGAACTGCACTTTGAAAAATTTTGTACTCAACAACGCCGGGAAATTGATTTTGAAATTCTATGAAACATTCCTCAATAGAATACTTCCATATTCCATCAATCTTGCGTCAATTTCTAAAGTAGGACTCTATGATAAACACTTTTTGTTCTTGAGAAAACACCATTTTAAACGCTTTTTAAAACGAAAATATTCAAATTGATAGCGGCGATATAGCGCCTTGACAAATGACGTTTAAATTCATTTGCTATACGCTACGCCCTACGTCCAAATTTTCAGAACCAACTTGACCACGTTTTTATTTGAACGCTCGTTATTTAAATTTATTTTTCTTCTCTACAAAACAACTAATAGTTTATTTGATTTCAATGAAATATACGCAAAAAGTGGGGATCGTATTCGTTTTCTTTATTTTTTACTTCGAATGTAATAATATAATTGTAGTTTACAAATCATCTTTTCAATAACATTTTTAATTATCATTTTATCACCATTAGGCAATATATACAGTAAAAATACTTAAGTTGAACATTCTAGTTTTCTATAATGCATCATTGTTATTTGTATTTCTGAATTTTGCGCCACTGATATAGCTTTTTTCCATAAATTTGATCATTTTAACACGAACTTACACAGTATTCTTGATATAAAAATGTTACTATTTAAACATTAAACAGACTTACCTTTGTTCAAAATTAATTAACTTCTATCCTTTAGCTTATTTCAAAACATAACAGAATATAAAATTATTTTTTTAGTTCCTTCTTTGGAAATTATGTCAAACGTGCAATGCCATCTGATAATAGACGATGAATGTTTCCCTCTCCTTTATATAATTTTTAACGTGACTAATGTAATCTGTTTCAGTTACTAACAATATAATAGAAGAAGCGACGTATTCAGGGATAATCGATCCTAGCGCTGAATGGCACACCTTAAACCATAGAGGGCCCCGGGCACGCTTGACTTACAGGGTGCGCGTCAAATGTGATACTCATTACTACAATTCCACGTGTACAAAATTCTGTCGACCAAGGAACGATAAATTTGGTCATTTCATCTGTGATGTAAACGGAGACAAAGAGTGTATAGAAGGCTGGAAAGGTTCTACTTGTGATGTTGGTAAGTAAATATCTTTAAAATTCAAAATATATCAAGATTTCAATCGAACTTTTGCTTGTTTCTCTTCTAAACTTTTAGAAAAACATGTAAATTGTTTTGAAATACCGATGAAAGCGGAAAATAAAACGAAACGAAACTTCAAAAGTTAAACGAAATGGTGAAAAGGTTTTTATAAAAACAAATTTGAAAAAAAGTGAGTGTGAGAAGGACGTAATGATAGATTAAAGAGTAATTTCGATTATAAATTAGGTTATAGGGCCTAGGTTAACTTTCCAATCACTAAGTTACAAATTAGCCCTACATTGCAATCTTACCTGGCTGTCACCTAAGATTATATGTGCTTATTTCACGAAACAGGTATTTATAGCTTATGACAAAATATTTAATATAGTTTTATCACATGCAAGGACTTTAAATTAGACTTAACTATAAATATCTTTGTTATCAGAGATCTCGTACATTATACAAGGTGTAAGAAGTTTGACTGCCATTACTTCAGTATGAGATAGAGTAATCATAAATGAACAAAAATGTTGTAGGTATATTACAGGGACGTAAAATTAACAGTTTTTAAAATACAGCGGGTATTAATATTGGGGAGTTTCATCACAACGTGACAACAGCACTTAACCTAACGCTACATAGCTGGTGCATACCACGTGTGCACGTGGCACACTTGTCCTGCGGAAAAAATGTAAACAACTATTATTTAGTAAATTTCAAGACAATAATTGTTTTCCAGTTTTTAAATAAATAAAATAAAATGTATCGATTTTGTAGTACGAAGATAGTGTTGTGCTTAAATTTTAGCTCGAATTTT